CAGGGTCTCTTTTGGTCTCCAGGTGGGGGTTGATGAGTTCTGCTCTGTACCACGTGCTCTGACCCTCATCAATCTTCAGGGCAGATGCACACTCATTTTTCCAAACACCACGAGCAGGTCTGAGGGGGATGCCAGAGAGCTGTGCTGTGGTTGGCAGGTAACCAAGCTAGAGATGCACACTGCAGGTGCAGGGAGTCCTCCTCCTCTTCCCACCCGAGCCCTCACCTTGGAATTCACCTTACACAATCACTGCCCATGCAAACCACTGGCAAGCTAGCTGACTGAGGGAGATAACAAAGAAAACACTACCAAAAAACTCTCACAGTGATGGATTCTGTGGCTCCTGAGCCCTCTGAAGGAGCCTACCATGGTCTTGTGGGAAGTGCCAGTTGCTGCACTTGAGCTGGGGCAGGAATAGCAAACAGAAGTGGGCTGTGGAGGTGAGATTTCTCTCTCAGCAACAGTACAGTTATTCCACATGCTCAGTTATACCACCAAACTGTACAGTAGCCACTTGCTGTCCAAGAGCTCTTCCTTGTAAGTTATCACTGATTTTCTCAATGGTATCCATTTGCTTTATCTTTATTGAATGCACCCAGTATCTGTTTTCTGAGGATTGACTGGACTGGGAATTACCTGTCAGGGTTAAACCTATCTGATCTGTGGTCTTGACACTGTTCAATGCTTCTCTTGTTAATAAAAAACTTATGACTTCGTAGTATAAATATGTGCATTGGATTCAAGGATTTATTCTTCCAACTGACACACTGAAAAAATACAAAAACAAGCTGATTTCTGGATGTAGCCTATGATGGTTAAAAAAAGATAAGATGGAACTTCTTACAAGTATTTCAGACCTTCTTGAGTCAGTGTCACTAGAAAACACTCACATGTACCCAAAGTGCAAATCAAACACAAATGTCAAACTGTGAAAGCATAAGATCTGTCCTTAAAGAAGGGAAGATCAGATCACAACACAACATAATACATGGCACTGAATCTGCAAGCAACATAAAATGACATGAGGGATTTTTCTGTTAGGATGTTTAAAACATGACTTAAAATGCTGAATTAATGATGGATTCTTTTTTTCCAAAGGAAAGAAGCAAGACATGCAAGAAATCTTACCATTCTTGTCTGCTCTTCTTAATATCTTAAAAAAAGAGAGACAGAAAGAACAGAGTCAATTTTTTCTTTTGTATGGGTTAATAACAAACAATGTTCTTAGTACAGATTTATAGTTTGGGCTCTACATCACATTTTCACAAAGCTGCATAGAGTTTTAAAGTTATTAATATGTCTTCATGCATCCCTCTGAGCTTTTTTTAACTCCTTCGTTGCTGTGTGCACTGACAACCAAGACCATAGCAAGAACCAGCTTTATTTTCTAGTTTGTTTATGGATTACAAGGATGATGTTCAGGCACAAAACCTGGTACCACATGGCTACCATGATACTGGATTCAGGTTTGAGAGAAGTGGCTTAAAGAAGCAGAGCAAGAATGATGGCTGGGAGGATGTGCTGAGCATCTGAGGTGGTGAGAAAGACTCCTGGTTTGTGTGGGTGGAGGAAGAAAAGGGTAAATCAGGGTGGCACAAAGGGATCAGACTCGGTGTCACTGCAATGGAGAATCATCCAGGAAATGCTGCCACAAGTGTAGACAAAGCAATAAAGCAAATCTTCCAAACCTAGTTTCTATTGCTGCAGCAAATATCACTGAAGTGTTTCAAAATAAGTTTTTGCACATATATTTTTGAGAACTGACAGCAATGGAAACATTCTCTGGTTTATTAAAATGTTAGTAGCATTTAAACAGCTTCTCCAGCACATGCCATGGCTGTTCTGCTCCTAGAAGTGAAACCAGACAAGATGGATCCAAGTGCCCAGCTCTCTTGGAGCACCTTCATGATTGTTTTGTGGAGGATGGGGTTGGCAGGGAAACCAACAGAGTTGTGACCCACATCCAGGACTTCACTGATGGTGAACTTTGCATTGAACCAAATTTATAGCACATAAAATATGAAATATACTTAGTAACATGACATTTTCTGTGGGGGCCTGAATATATGTATTGCTATGGAGCAAGTCCCTGTTAAGAGCTATGTATTAAATAAGTGGGTCCTTATGGGGAGAGTCCCTGTAGGATCTGTGTGGGTCCGGGTTGCTCCAAACGAGCTACAGCTGTGGGGTCCTTGGTTGGGCAGCAGCTGTAGCTCGTGAGAGTAACTGGAATAAATAGGGGTGGGTCGAGAGCTCAGGAGGAGCCTCTGTGAAACCATGAGGAGCTGCACTACAGAGAACAGAGATAAGTGAGACGGTATGGACTCTTTAGGAATATAATAGCAACAGGAATATAACAACTTTCTGTCCCTATTTATCCGAATAAATGATACGCTCAATTTTCAGTACAAGGGTTGGACTTTTGAAGGGATGTAGCAGTGTAGTTTCAATAAAATAGAAATGTCCCATAACCATAGGTCAAGAGTAGCAACATTTTCTGCTTAAGTAATTTTAAAAATTGATTTTAATCAATTATTTTATGTATTTATTATTTTTATAATTATTATTTAAAATTTATATTAATTTGTTTTAATTAATTAACCCCCCTGCCTCCGACCTTAAGGAAGTATTAAAATCTTTTAGACACTTGAGTTTGACAGAAGACCACAGAAGAGGTTGTTTTAGCAATCATAAATCACTCTCATTAGGTCTCTCTCTGGAGAGAGATTATTTATAAGAACATTTAGTGACAGAACAATGGGGAAGGATTTCAAACTGAAAGAGATTAGGTTTAGATTAGATGTTAGGAAAACAATTGTTACTGTATGGGTGCTGAGGCACTGGTAGTGGTGGCCCAGGGAGGTTGTGGATGGCAGAGTTTGAGGCCAGGCTGGATGAAGCTCTGAGCAACCTGGTCTAGTGGAAGGTGTCCCTGCCAATGGTGGGGCTTTAGAACTGGATGATTTTTAAGATCCCTTCCAACCATGCCATTTTATCATTCTATAATTCTATTCCCCAGGGGGATCAGGACCTCAGTGCCGCCCTTTCTGTGCAGCCTTACAACAAACCTCTTGCTGCCTGATCTAATTTAAATGTGTTTATATAGGTGGGGGTACTTCACTGAGGAGTAATCACACACCTGCACACCCCCAATATCTAAAATATCTGTGACATGAATGTGCTCTCACAGCAGAAGGGCCCCCAGGGTCCAGTCCCTGCTTTGAAGCAGGCATGGCTTGGATTTAAGGTTTTCCTCCAGATATAAGAGGAAAATCACAGAAACAGCCTCCTCCTATTGGTGGGTTTGTGAAAGGTATCTGCTTTCCTATAAATATGAACGTGACACGGGTTTAAGAAAATGCTGAAAATTAAAAAAATATTTTTATTTTGAATTATCTTTTCTACTTTAGTGAAATCAAAAGTTTTCAGTTTATCAGGTAATCTGACCATGTGCAATTTCCCAATCCAGTGTGCTAAGTTAAACTGGGGAGCTGGCTGCATTTAATGTTTTTTAACTCTTTCCTGACAACTTGGATTTCTCTTCTGTTTTTGAGACGTATGACCTTAACTCTCCCATTTCTTTTACAAGTGGTATCTCTGAGACAAAAGAAAAAAAAAAAAAAACCACAAAAAACCCAACCAAAGAAAAAGACCTGCATTTTCAATATACACTTGAATTAAAATGAAAACTGAACTGAATGGAAAAGTCAATAAAAAGTCTTATTTAAACAATTTTCTGTGGAGGCTAGAGAAATCAGGAGACGAGCAGATGAGGTTCACTTGAAACTGGAGAAAGGTTGGGGAAGTTGAAGTGGGCATATTAGAGAAAACACCTAGATAAAGAGTCCTTTAATACAGGCTATGCCATTCCAGCTGATTTGTGGAATAATGCCAATACTAGAGCTGGTCTGAAGCGGATCGGAGTTGGTGGTTGAGTTGGTCTCAAGATTTGCAGTCTCACCAAGGTCAGGGGATACTTTGAAGATCTTTGGGTGGGAGTTTGCCTTTTTCCACGGCTTGCCTTGGAACAAAGAAATACTCTGTGCTGCACAAATTTGGACAAGAAAACTTTACAGCTGCACCTTGCAAGATGCCCTTGGGGACAGCCTAGCACAGCACCTCTCGGGGCTGCGTGGCCAGATGTTCATCAGGACACCTCCCTGGGCTCACCCTCAAAGGGCTGAGGGGCTCAGGATTCTCTGCACATTGACCTTGGGCTCCTCAAATTCATCAGGGTCTGAAGGGATGGGAAGAACCTGCATGGTTAGGGAAAAAACCCCAAAAACTTTTATAGGGTGAGAAACTTTAGTGAAAAGCACTCCCATCCCCCCCACCCCAATAAAAACAATAAAATTTGAAGTAACTTATTTAGAAAGGTGACTGTTTAGACTGTTTTCACCCGTTTAGAATGGTGACAGAGCCTCTTCTAGCCACCCCCAAAGACTAACCTGCTCTCCTCACACATGCAGCCATTAGAAACAAAAGGGGAAGGGGAAAGGATAAGGGAAAGGGAAAGGGGGAAGATTCACAGCCTCACTGGGCTTCACCCCCTTCCACCGAGGGAGGAGATAACAGGTCAGAAAAAAAAAAAAAAGGAAAAAAAAAAAAAGAAGGAAAAGAAGAAATAAAAGCGGGGAGGGGGGAAGTATGGAGAGGAAAAAAGACAAGAGAAAAAGGCAATACATAACAAACCAGGTGCCCCTCCACAAACACTCGCAGGTGCCCGGTGCGAAGGATGGGTTCCGTGCCCGTACTCACATCGCGGAAGATGCGCAGCCCCGCTCCGCCGCCATCCGCCCGCCTCAGCCACCTCAGCGCCCGCCCGGGGCCGGGCCGGGGTCCCTGCGGGGCCGGGCCGGGGTCCCTGCGGGGGCCGAGCCGCTCGCCCGGCCCGGCCGGCCCCGGGAGCCCGCCCCAGCGAGGGCAGGAGCAGGGCCGGCCGTGCCGTGAGGGGCACACGCTCCCTGTTGCATCCTTAGGGCGGGCTCTGGCGACACTTGCGTTGTCTCCATGAAGGAAACTTGCGGTCTGTCAGGACACGTCTGCATCGTCGTCTTGGCTGCCTCCCCGCTCTTCAGCACAGTCACTTTGGGGAAATGTTTCCCAGGAAAGCCACGAGAGCCCGTTCCGAAGATCGGCTATAAGATATAAGGTGTAAGGTGAGGTCCCGGCAGTGCAGGGGTGACGGGCGGCTCTGCGTTCCACACCGCGCTGCGGGCACCGCCAGCAGCTCCGCTCCCCAAAAGCCTCGGGCATGATAATAAGATGATGCTTGGATATAACATATCCCTCAAAGTGTCTCAGCCAGAAGTCAGGGGCTGCAGGGACGTGTAGCGCCGGTGCTCTGCGGGGAAGCAAGCGGGGAGCAGGGGATGGGGCAGGAGCGGGCCCGGCGGGGTCAGGGCAGGGAGGAGCAGGAGGGTCCGGGGTCAGGGAGGGGAAGGCAGCTCTGAGGGGAGATCCCCGAGCTCCTGCACACCCGAGCCAAGGAGGAGTTCTCGCATGGAAATCCTGTAACAGCGGCTGAGACTGTGCTCCCACCACGGGCAGACGGCATTGCCATTTTACATCATATGTTACAAGTGAAGTGAAGTTTTTGTTTTAAAACACTCTCATGGATGAAAAGCCTCGGCCGTGGTGTGACTTGAAAGTTTCTGCTTCTCTCACCTCCCTTTCAACATTTCAGAGGAAAACCTGAGAGATGGAAGAGAGAACTGTCCAATTGGAAAGACAAGGCATTTCACAGGGTGAGCAATTTTTATCTCAATTCATAAAGATGGCTTTAAAAAAGAGATGGAAAGATCATCTCAGGCTATTTTTGCTTTTTAATAATACTGAAAAGCTTTTATTTAATCTGATTTTTTGATGGTAATACGGGAATATATTTTTTTCCAGAGAGAGGAAAGAAGAAGAAGAAATTCCAAAGGTAGTCTCAAGAGCCGTGGGGGTGAGTAGAAATAAGAGCAAGTTTCTTTAGACTTGCTATAGAGTCTTGCTCTATAGACTTCTATAGAGCGGCTTGGTTTTTTTAACTTTCACAGCAACAACATTAATAATTTACATATTTAATTTTTTGACTAATTTCTATCTATAAAAAGACCTTTGATGAAGACCCAGTATCTATCTATAAAAAAAATTCTATCTATAAAAATTCTATATTAAAAAAAATTCTCTATATAAAATAAATTCTATCTATAAAAAAATTTAACTTTTTTTGACTAATTTCTATCTATAAAAAGACCTTTGATGAAGACCCAGTATCTTTCCTTTTTGATTAGCCTTAACATTCACCAAGAATATTTTGTTTGTCTAGAGGAACCTTCCTTCAAAATTGTAAGAAAAAATATTGTGCCATCTTGATATTTTTAGGGTAAAAATGAAAACATAAGAATCAAAAATGTTCCACAGGACTTTTATTACATGAGAAAGTTGTGAGTAGAGTATGTGTGAAACTTACTGATGATAGTTTTTGTACTGCTTTAAAATTACCTGAAGCAATACCTCAATTTTAACACCACAAGCAGAACCAGAGATCTGATTTTACTCAGTTTCATATTTATTCAATGATGTCCCTCTGTCTCTGATCAAGAAGCCATGAGGAGTGGGGAATGCTGCTGTGGTGCCCTGTGATGTGAGAGTACAGGCACTGCCTCACTGGGAGGATAATGGCTTTGTGACCTGCCCAGGTGAGGTTAGCAAAGGTCAGCACTCAGTGACATGCTCCCCTCTGCAGCCCCTGGCCTGTGCTGCTCACCTCCTATTACAAGAAATAAAAGTTGTTCCGTGTGTGTCTGAAGATAAAACCTAAAAGAGCCTGTTTTTTTCTTGCTGTGTGTCAAATCATTAAACTTTTATTTAGAAACCAGGTACTTTACTAGCATCTTTGCTCATGTGAAATGAATTGGTCAGCCAATGTGTAATGATTTTGCCCTTTAATCTGGGAAAAACAAACAAATTAAAGCTGGCAGCAAGAGCTACCTTCCACTTACTGTGCAGTGGACTGTGATGTGCAAGAGCCATCAGCGCTGAGATAGATAAACAGCAAAACTTCCTTTTTACTGAGGAAATGCAAGCTGTCCAAGTGTCTAATTGAGTTACTGAGCCACTCCATGATTCCACTCTCTCTGTGTGTGGCCTCTAACTGACAGGAAAAACACTTTGTAATGCTTATGTCAAAATATAACCTTTCCAGCAGAAGAACAGTACTATTTGCACTTGGCTAAGGGAATGGATCTGCTTTATGGTCTTTTTTCTTTGCTGCAGGAGCTGACTGGTATGTATCCAAAGGGCTGAGTCAGTATTATACAGAGTCCCCCCTCAGCTTTCGAAACCTGTTGTTTTGTCATGGTTTGACCATCTGGTCTGGTGCTCTGTAGGCCAACCCTAAACCAGCCTCTGGTTTGGGTACTCAAATGCTGCCCCTGTCGTTGCTCCCTCATAACTTTTCTTCATCATAAAGTAAAAATAGAGAAAATTCAGATTTAGTATGTTTGTTGCCATGGCTTGTGGGCAGAAACAGAGGAAGCAAAAGGCCACCTTTCTTTTCCTTCCCTTTGTGTCTCACACGTGGACTCATCTGACCCAAGGGAGGATCCTGTATTTCTGCAGCTCAGTGTTCCTAGGAAGGACTCTGATGATGAAAAAGTAAGTCCTCTTCTATAACATATGATAAGCAAGGGTGGATCTACAAAATCTCAGAAGGAATGTTGGTGTGCCTGGAAAACCATTAGGTCAGCCACCTCTACAGGAGGGTGTGGCTAGGTATAGCTCATCAGATGAAAATCACCTCAGGGTTCCCAGCTCTGGGAACCTCATCAGGATCCCTCCTGGGACAAGGCCTGAGTCTGCTCCCATGGCTTTCCTGTCCTCCTCCTTTCCCTCTGGCCCCATGTCCACTTGGTGGTGCAAAGGAAAACCAGACACAGGCAGTGCTGGAGCCACAGGGCAGTTCAATGGCAGGCCAGTGCAGACAACAGGCATGAGCACCAGCAGGTGAGCTTGAATGCAGCATGGATTGGAGCTCTTTCCTAAACCACCAGGAGAATAAATATAATGTAAAGCCATTGTCAGAAACTGATATGTTAGAGGTTAATGACTCAAAACAATCAGCCACTTGTGGAGGCAGCAGTGTGCTTTACTGAGGCAGGGTTTGCACCCCTGGCCAAGGGGAGGAGGGAGGGTAAAGGGGCACGCAGCAGCAACTGTAGCTCATGTTGAGAAAAAGCCTGCTGTGAGACTGGATAGATAAGGCAGATATTTACTCATGAGATCTAAGAAAAAGAATTAAGTAGAGGATCAAAGCATAAGTGTCAGAAGCAAAACAATGTGAAAGCACAGTGTACTTTTATTCTTTATATTTGCAACATTCCCACACACACACAAAAAAAAAAGGTAGAAGAAAACTGCTATTGTTAGTCTGCAGCTAAAATGATTTAATAATGTCCTTGTTCTGGTCAGGACAGGGTTAATTTTTTGCAGTAGCTGGGAGGAGGCATGGCTAGGGCACTGCGGTTATTCTGAACCACCTCATGCCATTGCTGGGGAAAGTGACACTTTTTCAGGGAGAGGGGATTCCTTCATATTGAGAAAACATAGTATTTTCTATTACTGGGGCTTTTTTCCCCCATGTGAGTAGTTTCTTTTCTTATAACCTCTGTCATTAGAATTGTTGCTGTTACTGTTCATTTTCTTATCTCATCTCTCTTTCCAGTAAATTCTTCTTACCTTAACCCATGACCTTTGCCTTTTGTGCTTCCAATTCTCAATGCCAACCCAGTGAATTGGGAAGGGGAAGGGAGGAAGGGCAAAGGGGAATGGGTGTGTGGTTTTGGAGAGCCTTGGAGGGGACAGTAAATTGGAAGTACTGTTTCTAAACCTGACAGATATTAATCCAAACCCAAAGAAGTTCAGTTCACAGTACCTGTCATGCTCAGGTATAAGCAATAGTCCTGAGCAGTCCATCCATCCCTGCTCTGTTCCCCCTAAGAGGGAGAATCATAAGGTTATTTGTATTGCAAAGCTTTAGTCACTCATTGTTCATCAGGCCTGGAAGAACAGTTTCCCACACAGCTGAAGATGGGGAATGAGGTTCCCACAAAGAGCCAATTCCAGTCTTCAGGGTCCTGGTCTTTAAGAGCTCAGAAGGAGCCATTGACTACAGAGTACTTTTAGGAATCTGGTTAATTTATTCAAAGTCTTGAGGCTGGTTGGAGTGTGTAAATAACTACAGTTTCTTCCATGTGTATGTGCCCTCCTGCCAAATGGCAACCTATATGTAACTTATTTTGTTACTGTGGCTGTCACTGAGAAAAATGCCAAAAGCCTTGTGCCTCATTCCTGGGTCAGAAATGAGCACATACACACTGATAACACAGTACAGCAATCTGGGAGAGTGTCTGAGACCTGTGACATGGAGTCCTGGTTTTCACTTTGGCAAAACCTCTGTGCCTGAGCTCTGCTTTAGGTGCCCAAATATTTAACTATGTGTTGGCCATTGTCCTTCCTGTTCAACTGGCTTTAATTACATGAATCCAATTAAAAGATCATGGATCTGATAAGATTATCTCAAACTCATTTCTGTAGCTGGATTTGAGATTTTTTTAAAAGAAAAACTGTATTATTCCAATAGTTTTTTGAACTGAAGAATTTTCTCCCTACCTACCTCCCTACCTTTCCCAGGCCGATCCTCAGATATATATCTCCCATGAAACAGTACCTCATGAGATGATTCCAGCTCTTTTCTTTGCTTTTCAGTTTGAAAATCCTTGTCAGTTGTTGAAATTCTGCTTTCTGAAATGACCTCCTGGCTTACAGCAATTCAGTGATTTCACCTTTTGCAGCCATGCTGACAGCTCAGAACATGCAGGCAAGCCCCTCTCCCCAGCCTGGCAGTGCTCACAGCCTAGTGGAACATCTGCTGCTTCCTACCTCAGGGAAAGCAAAGGGCTCTTCAAGGCCTTTTGGACTGATGTTTTGATCATATTGCTACAACTGTAGATGAGACTCTGTTTTGCTTTCAGTGGATCTTTGGGGGGGAGCTGAATTCTTGCAGAAAGAGCAAACACATCACCATCTATTTTAGAAAAAGTCTCTAGCAATTTTATATTGCCAGAGAATTCAGTGCCAAGTACTGTCTGCTCTCCAGCTGTTATTGTGCTCAGTCCTAGGCTAAGGAGAATAATGCAAATAAATGTAAAAAAAGCAGGAGGGAGAGATGTGATTTTATCTGTTCTTGATTTTAACAATAATTAATAGTTAAATATTTAATATAAGAATTATTAACTGTCTAGTTGAAATAAGGAATCCCTTCTGCTATTTTACAGAACCAAAAGCCTTAATCCAAACAGAGCATAACTTTGGAGACATTTCTATCCAAATGCAACTCTGCATGAGAAACTGAAATAATTTCTGGGTATGAATGTTGAAGTTTCGGCTTGCTTCTCAACATTGTGCTTATTTGGACAAATTCTACTTATAATACTCCCAGAGAATTTCTACTTACAGATGGGATTTGAGATGGAGCATAACAGTAAGTGATTTGGACAGATATATCCCACTACTCCCATTACTCTGGTGCCAGATTTGTGGGCCTGGTTCAATGGCCCAGTGCTAGCCCAACTCAAAGACAAGATTTTAGGATGTGTATTCTCTACCAAAGCCAAAACACAACCATAAAAGGATACAATAAATGACAGGGACATTCTATGTGTTCCACTGAGAGAGGTTTTTTTTTTAACTTTCAGAGACTGATTGTACAAATCACTTGCTTACTAGGATATTCTTTATAAATATTACTCCAGGCATAGCAAGAAGAGTCATAGGCATTTCCTAGTTACTTACATAAGGAAGGCCGTCAAACCAAATAAAAAAAAGTCAATTAAAGTTTCAGATCTTACTTAAAAAAAACCCCACAGGTTTCTGTGAGTCTCCTCACTGTCCAAATCAGAG